CCCCCCCCCCCCCCACACACACACACCAAACCTTTGGTAAGATGAGTAGATTTGATTGTTCAAAATTGGCAATCTGGGGACAATGGGCATTGACCTGTTATGTACAGCATACACTATATTTTTTTCATCCTAAAGAACAGTATGAAACCTGTTTTGTTGCATAATAGTTCTATCTGATGCTGTGGATATTTCATCCTGCTGTTAAGCATTGAAAGGAACTGCTTTTGTGCTTTCTGCAGAACCCAAATGGGAGCTATGCGACCTATGAACTCACAAGATCATATCCATGGTTGGAGGTAACATTCTTTGACATACAATCGTTCCATGTTCAATTCTACTTTAACTCATTATTGCTCCACTTGCCAGTTCTTTACAAAAACATCTTCACACCCAAAATTAATTCAGCATATACCAATAAAAGGTGTCAGTTCTCCTAACTTACTAATTGGTGGCTAGCTTGTATAAATCCTTAGCAGGTTATGGAGATGATAAATTGATAGTGAATGCCATTTCCAAAAAAAAACAACCTCTGCTCTCTCTAGCATTGCCATTCACCCTCCCCGAGGCTAGTTTCTGTAACTCGCATTGCAATGAATAAAGATTAGCTTGGTCCTTGAGACTATTGATTAGCTTTCTGATTGACAAAAGATTATATGACAGCTTCAGAATAATTTGAGTGCTATAAATAATATTCCGTCCCAAAATGAAGTTCTTGTTGTGGTTTACGATGTTATAGTGAAGTTACTTTTAATTCAATTGAAAATTGTCGTGGAACCTAAAAATAAAGATATATTTAAAAAATATATCGAAAGTTCCACGAACCAAGTTGTGGCATGATTATGTAATTTTATCAAATGAGTAATGAAAATAAAAAAGAAAGTGGATACCATTTTCATTGTGAATAGTAAATAGGAACTTCATTTTGGAACGTAGGTAGTAATGTAGTATATATTTTAATTTGTTGTGACTTTTGATGATAGACTTTAGTTTTAGTAATTTAGATTGTATAAAAATGACACTTCCAAATGTACTTAGTCGTGGCAGGATGATAGCCTTAAGGTAAAGTGGAAGATCATCAGATGTCATTTGCTCTCATCAACCCCTCAACCTTAACTAGTTAGTGTCGGTGGTTTAAAAGTTACAGGTTTACAGTGCCTATTAACTGTCAAAATAGTGTCACTATAAATTCTTAGTTCCCAAGTTTCACAATAGATGTCCTTCCTGTCACAACCTTCTTAGAAACGAATAATGTAATGAAATTTTAAAAACAACACCATCCCATTTTGTTTCCACTTGCATGAACATTATTATGACATCATGATGCAGTGATATAACTGTGTAGGGAAACAACTTTTCTTTCATCTTCCTCATGAGATGAAATTCCACTCGTTTTTCGGTTTCTAATATTGTATACTGATTTGGGGGGGGGGGGCGTCAATCTGCGATGTGAGTTATGTCAGACCAAACTAGCCAAGAACCAGAACATTACTCACTTGCTAATTCTTAATTATAATATAAAAGAAAAAAACTATGATATGTACTGTATTCTGCATCTATGATATGTGATATACAACTCATACTCATTTTATCAAATGAGTAATGAAAATAAGAAAAGAAAGTGGATAACATTTTCATTTGAATATTAAATAGGAACTTCATTTTGGGATGGAGGTAGTACATTTTTCCTAATTTCTTGTGACTTTTGATGATAGACTTTAGTTTTAGTATTTTAGATTGTATTAACATGACACTGTTAGCCTTGGTTTGCACATCGACTAACACACTTCCACATGGACTTAGTTGTGGCAGGATGGTATAGCCTTAAGGTGAAGTGAAAGATCATCATATTAGATTTGCTTTCATCAACCCCTCAATCTTAAATAGTTAGTATTGGTGGTTTAAAAGTTGCAGGTTTACAGTGCATATTAACTGTCAAAATAGTAGCGCCATAGATTCTTAGTTTCCAAGTTTCACGATAAACATCCTTCCTGTCACAATCTTCTTAGAAACGAATAATGAAATGAAATTTCAAAAACAACACCATCCTATTTTGTTTCCACTTGCATGAAAATTATTATGACATGGTGATGCATTGATATAACTGTGTAGGGCAACAACTTTACTTTCATCCTCCTCATGAAACGAAATTCCACTCATTTTTTCGGTTTCTAATATTGTATACTGATTTGGAGGGGCCCGAGGGGATCAATTTCCGATGTGAGTTATGTCAGACCGAACTAGCCAAGAACCAGAACATTACTCACTTGCTAATTGTTAATTGTAATATAAAAGGGAAAAAAACTAGGATATGAACTGCATTCTGCATCTATGATATGTGATATACAACTCATGTGCTGATCTGAAAGTATTTGTTCTTGTTCAGTTAATCAACCCTGCTGAGACTTTTGGTGATATTGTCATTGATTACCCGTAAGACTTGCACATTTATCTATTTATTGCCGGTCCCATATCTGGGTTATATACAAGTATACAACTTCCATCAATTCAAGTCTATGTTTCTGATCTCTAACAAACTTCTCTCTATGTAGCTATGTTGAGTGCACTTCAGCTTCAATTCAAGCACTGATGGCATTTAAGAAATTGTTCCCCGGACATAGGAGGGAAGAGCTGGAGCATTCAATAGAAAAATCTGCAAAGTTCATCGAAAAGATTCAAAAACCAGATGGCTCATGGTTAGTTCTTGTATTTTGCTTCACNTTGCCGGTCCCATATCTGGGTTATATACAAGTATACAACTTCCATCAATTCAAGTCTATGTTTCTGATCTCTAACAAACTTCTCTCTATGTAGCTATGTTGAGTGCACTTCAGCTTCAATTCAAGCACTGATGGCATTTAAGAAATTGTTCCCCGGACATAGGAGGGAAGAGCTGGAGCATTCAATAGAAAAATCTGCAAAGTTCATCGAAAAGATTCAAAAACCAGATGGCTCATGGTTAGTTCTTGTATTTTGCTTCACCCATTTCTACTAATGTTTAAACTTTAAAGACTCCAACCATTATTCTCCAGTGTATACCTTTATTGTTCTCTCCCCCTTCCCCCCCTGCCTCTTTGAAACTTAGTGTTGTCCCAAAAAAGAGTCATGTTTGAAAGTTTTTTTGTCTCCAAAAACAGAGACATATTTTAACAAAAGAGTATAATTTCAATGATTTCAGTGTCATGTTTCCATAAAAAAGTGTCCCAAACAAGTTAATTTTAGTTTGCACGAACAAATTTTAAAATATAAGTTGGCTTGGTAACTTATCATTGTACCTTACCAAAATTAAGAGTTATATAAAACACGACTCTTTTTGGGAACAGAGGAAGTATTTATCTAAATTTGCTTAAACATTCATGGTTTTATGGCATCTTTTTTCCTGAACTAAGATTAAATTTGTAATATACACCTGATCAGGTATGGCTCTTGGGGTGTTTGCTTCACTTATGGCACATGGTTTGGGGTATTGGGCCTCGTGGCTGCTGGAAGGAATTTCAACAATTCCAGTATCCGCAAGGCTTGTGACTTTCTGTTGTCCAAACAACTTCCTTCTGGTGGCTGGGGAGAGAGTTATCTATCCAGCAGTAAAGGGGTAAGTGTTGTGTTGATTTTTTTTCTTTCAAATATAATTCTTGTGCATGAAGCACACTTTCAACAGAAAGCCCACTTGTTTTGTGTGGGATTGTCAAATTTAGCCTTTACAAGATGAAAAAAGCTTACACCACTTTTTGGCACCACTTTGACACCATGACACCATAGTGTTTCGTAGACACATACAGACAATAACTACAATAGCTGTTTGTGCCCCGCATTAGTGGAAAATTTTCCACTAAATTATAAAATACTCTCTCTCTCTCACACACACACACGGACTACATGAGCTTAATTAGAACACTTACAACTTAATCTTCCACTAAATAATAAAATCTTCATACACCCTTGATTTCATTTCCTAGGTTTATACAAATATTGAAGGCAACAGATCTCATGTAGTACACACGGCATGGGCTTTGTTGACCCTCATTGCTGCTGGACAGGTGATTTCTTTTCTAAGCTGCTTAAAATTCTTTCCTTGTGCAATGGCTTTGCTGTTGTGTGAAATTACTTTTTCATCCTCAATGCTGTAAATTTCTATGCTTGAAAAAATCACAGGCTGAGAGGGATCCGATGCCATTACATCGTGCTGCAAAATTATTAATTAATTCTCAGTTGGAAAATGGAGATTTCCCTCAACAGGTAAAATTCTGTTTCTTTCTTGACTGATGAATCTGTCTTGGGTTGGGAATACTTAGGATCTCTTTATTACTTCTCTAAAAAAAAAATTTTGGAACCAAGCACAATAAAATGGTCAAAAACTCAGTTTTTCACTTTTTTGAGTTGTAGATATATATTTTCTCGAGTTAAAAAAATGTACAATTGTAGCTTGTCTTTAAGATTCTAACTTCGTAGCAATGATAAAGCTTGAAATGACGGATGCGTTACAATTTACAAGGGCTTAGACTGCTATTCATTTTTCATTGATTTTATTATATCAGGAAATAGTTGGAGTCTTCAACAAGAACTGCATGATATCATATTCTGCCTATAAGAATGTATTCCCCATATGGGCGTTGGGAGAATACTGCAGCCAGATTCTGAAAGCCCGCATGTAGAGTGGTTACCGTTCCAATTTTGCCCTCCAATTTCGTTTCTGAGGTAAATGTATGGACATAAGGTTAAGGGCCGTATAATAATAATAGACCTTTTCATATAAATAATAAATGATTACAAGGATATGCATTTCATTTTTATTTTATTGTGGAGTGTTTTTACGTGTAAATGTCCATGTCATTTGAATGCTCTTAATACCGTTTTGGTTCCACTCTTGTGACTATTTTGTGTGTGTGTGTGTGTGTGTGTGTGGTGAAGTACATATATAATTTGCAGCAGCTGTAAATGATATTCCCGGTTTTAAAATTCATTCAATTCGTTTGTATAATTTGTTTATTTAACTTCAAAGGTAGTGAGGGCAACAAAATTTGTGGTGGATATTGAAGCCCCGTCAAAAATATTTATACGTAGTACTTGACTTGTTTGGCTTTAATTTATTTTACTATAGTCTGAGACGGTTCACATTTCATATATAGATCTTAGGATCACAAAAGAACAATTCGTCTAATTCTAAAATGTTCTTTTGACATCAGATCTTTATGTCATATTATGACTTCGGGTATTTTTTGATCGGATCACTACATGCTTGTTTTTTTAAACGAACCATTTATGGTTATATTATGTGTTTTGAAAATCATGTGATAACAAATGGGGTTAGTGCCGTTAAGGCGTTAGCTAAAAGGCATTTGAGAGGATGAAAATGAGGGATATGGGTAGGTTTTTTTTTACAATGGGGAGTAACAACAAAGAGAACTAGACTAATAACGAACAAATATGCTCTCCTCTTCTATAAAGAGGGATTTCCATGACATTCGAATCTCATGTCATGGTATGATCTGAGAGCGTTACGTTACCTTGTTTTGACTCTAAAGTCAAATAAATCTGGGGTTGCAATTGAAAGGAGTGGGAGACTGGGAGGTACATTCAAGTCAGGGCGGGATGCGGGAGTTTACCAGGGATCATGTTAGGATCAAATAATCCTTCTGTATTCATTCGTATTTCTCACGGGTCCAGTACATCATGTGCATGTATATGTATACAAAGGAAAACAAAGTAACCTCTACCAAGTATACAAAAGGTCAATAATAATTACACAATAATATTTTCTTAAGAGTGCCGTATGGTGTTCCATTCCTCACCCCATAACCATGCATGCATTGAATAATATTATACCAATATTATTATTTCCTTAACACCCCCCTCAAGTTGGAGCATGGAGAAAACAAATGCCCAACTTGGGAAGTAAAGCCTCAAACTATCCTTTACCAAGCGCCTTGGTGAGAATATCCGCACATTGATCGCGAGTTGAGACGTGAGATACTCGAATAGAACCACGCAATAATTCATCCCGAACAAAATGACAATCAATTTCGATATGTTTGGTGCGCTCATGAAAAACTGGGTTTGCCGCAATATGAAGCGCCGCCGTATTATCACAAAATATTTGCATCGGGGCGGGATGATGCACGCCCAAGAAGCGTAAGAGACCACGAAGCCATTTGAGCTCGCAAGTCAAGACGGCCATGGAGCGGTATTCTGCCTCCGCAGAGGATCGAGCTACAGTAGGTTGTTTCTTGGTTTTCCATGATATGGGGGATACACCTAGCTGGACAAACCAACCGGTAAGAGATCTACGAGTCAAAGGACATGCGGCCTAGTCGGAATCACACCAACCTGTCAAGTGGAGTGAACTATCAAAACGTAAAAGAATACCGTGGCCAGCCGTCCCTTTAAGGTAGCGGACCACCCCCAATGCGGCATTCCAATGATCAGTGCGTGGATCCTGTAAAAACTGAGCCAATGTATGGACGGCATAGGAAAGATCTGGTCGAGTAACAGATAAATACACTAGACGCCCGACTAAGCGTCGATATGCACCGGGGTCGTCAAGCAATGGACCAGACGCCAAGGAAAGCCTATGGTTCGGCTCCATTGGAGCACCAAGAGGACGACAACCAAGCAACCCAGATTCGGTAATAATATCAAGAGCATATTTCCGTTGGGTAAGGAATATCCCCGTTGGATTCCGAGCCACTTCAATTCCAAGAAAATATTTGAGTTTCCCCAAGTCCTTCATATGGAAACAATCAGACAAATAGGTCTTAAAACGAGCAATCTCCACAGAACTATCACCAGCAATAACCAAATCATCCACGTAAATCAAAACATGGATAACCGAACCAGTTCGGTTGTAAGAAAATAAGGAGTAATCAGAGTAGGACTGGCAAAACCCATACCGGCGTAATGCCTCAGAAAGCTTAGCAAACCAACAACGAGGGGCTTGTTTAAGCCCATAGAGTGATTTCCGCAATTTACATACCATCTTCGGGGCTTGAGGCCGAAACCCAGGAGGGAGCTTCATGTATACTTCCTCAGGTAAATCACCGTGAAGAAATGCATTATGAACGTCCATCTGATGGATCTCCCATTGGCGGATAGCAGCAACTGTCAAAAGTACACGCACCGTAGTGAGCTTCACCACAGGAGCAAAAGTCTCATTGTAATCAATACCTTCCACCTGTCGATTTCCATGAATCACAAGCCGAGCTTTAAACCTCTCTACCGAACCATCAGATTTCCGTTTGATACGAAAAACCCACTTACACCCCAAAGCTTTTGTATGAGGGGGCAACGGTACTAAGGTCCATGTACCGTTATTTTCTAATGCGGTGACTTCTTCAGCCATTGCCTTACGCCACGCAGGAGATTGCACAGCCTCCCGATAAGACTGTGGTTTGGTATCAGAATCAATCTTCGCCAAATAACTCCGGTGGTAGTCTGAGAAACGTGCATAATCAACGAACTTTGTCAACGGATACCGGCATGATTGATTGTCCGTAGTTACGGTGTATGTGACGTAATCTTGCAGCCGCACATTTGGAGTTCTCGGACGATGACCACGGCCCAACTCACTGTCCGCAGGTGGGGCAGCGAAGGACGCCATGGTGCCACTGGTCTCAGACGTCAGGGGAATGGACAATAGCTCCGGAGGATCTGCCCTGCTGTTCTCGGCTGCCCTGCTGGTCTCGGTTTCACTACTGGCAGTGGAGTCTGCCGGATTCTTACACACAGGATCACGGCCAGCACTAGAAATGTTGTTCGGGCGTGCATGATCATCATCATCAATGTATGTGAATTCGGGAGCAGCAGGGGCTGATCTAGGGTCTTGAGTAGGAGAAACATCCTGAAAAGGAAAAACATCTTCGCAAAAAATCACGTCACGAGAAATAAGAAAAGGTCAATAATAATTACACAATAATATTTCCTTAAGAGTGCCGTATGGTGTTCCATTCCTCACCCCATAACCATGCATGCATTGAATAATATTATACCAATATTATTATTTCCTTAACAGATCAGAAGGATAATAATTGTCAATTTTATGAATGTGGCATCGTAGCGGTTTTGGTTTATTCCATGACATGTGGTTTGAATATTATGAGAAGCACCCTCTTCTATAATCCAGATTACTGCCTAGGCGCCCACTCTCACTTTTCTTTGCGAATAAATTTGCATAGGAACCTTCCTTTGTGTTTGGAGATTCGACTTACACTTTGCATGGTCGTCATATAGAGTGCACATTACCAGAAATTAAACATAAAAATAATTACTACGTAATCAATTAAGTTTACAGTATTCCATAAAAAAATGCAGTATTATGATTTTATGTTTTCGTCTCCACCAATTAGAAAGCGGGTAAATGTCTACACTTTTGACTCCCATAATAAAAATACCGGCATCTTCAAGACACAACTTTATTAAAAATTGCAAACCATCGTTAAACACGAAAAATAATTTCTTATTATTAAACTTTTAATACTAGTCGAGAAATTAGACGCACGTACACCTTTTATGAAGCGTGCATAATGGCGAACCTAGAAGCTGCAAGGAGTGGAGTCACATTTGAATGAAATAGTTTAAACTCATTTATACTTTTAAAACTTAAATTAATATAATCACAATTAAAAAAACTTAAAAATAAGATTCAAACTCTTAAGTTAGAAGCTACTCCTATTTCAAACTCCCTTTACCAAATATTTTCTTCCAAAGGAACAAACTGTTGGGACCGCCCGTATCAGTATGATATTGTCTCATGCCCTCCCATATTCTTTTTAGAAACTTTCCAAAAGACCTCATACCAATAAGATCGAGGAATCATATATATTTTAGTCATCTTTCTCATCTTCTTTCTGAGTGGGAGGAGTTTGCTACCAAACACAAGCATGTTTTGATTCGTGACTAGGGGTGGGCACGGGCCGGTCCGAGCCAAGATTTGTATAAACCAGACTCGACCTGTTTTTTTTAAACGGTCCGGGCCGGAACGAGTTTTCAAAATTTTAAAATTGAAACCGGACCTAACCCGGCTTGTTTGAAACGCGCCGATTTCACGGGTCAACGGGTCCGAACCTATCATGGTACTAATATTAAAAATTAAAGGGATAATAAATTAATTTAAGCCATCCAACATAAAAAAAGAGGCGTAACTGAAAATAAAACAATGACAAAGAGGGGCATGAGAATAACGTGTACACCCCATGATCATCCAACAACAATAATAAAAAAGAAGACAACCATGTTTTGGCATTATAATGTCAATGGGTTCCAAAAAGAACAAAATTCACAATCTTCATGGGTTCCGACTCTCTGACTATGAAATATTTTCTTACTTTTCTGCCTGTGATTGGAAGGACCAAAAGATTGAAGGGCTTAGGCGGATATATTTCCATATATTCGTATATTTACTAAAAATAATATTAAAAATAATATTGGGATTTAAAAAACGGTCCGGTCCGGGTCCAATACAATTTCAAAATGAGGAACCGGATCGACCCTAAAATTTGTAAGGACCGGACCGACCCGGACCGTTTGAAATTTTTGAAAAGAGGACCCGACCCTAACCCGGACCGAACCTAGCGGTCCGGTTCCAACTCCCGGTTCCTGGACCTGATTGCCCACCCCTATTCGTGACTATAAGTTACTCCCTCCGTCCTAAAACTTTCTTCCCACTTTCCCTTTTTTTCCGTCCTAAAACTACCTTCCCATTATGAAAAAAAAAATGACAAATGACATTAATACCCTCATGTATTTACACCAATTATCTTCTAACTCTATATTTTGAATGATTGCAAAAAAAATTCAAAAAATCTTTTTTAAGGAGGGTAAAATTTGAAGTCAAAGCCAAAAATTAAAAATGGGAAAAAGTCAAACTGAGAAGAAAGTTTTAGAACGTGATGGTGTAAATTACTTGACCGGTCAAACTATATTAGACCTCAATTTAGCAAAGTAAGTAAGGTAAAAACACGCAGATTGACCGGTAGGACTTTAGGTGGAACACCTGTAGCCCAATTTATAGTATAACGGAGATTGCACGGGTGCTTTTACAAGGGAGTAGAGAGAATGAATTCGGATCCCTCTTTCTGAGGTTTACATGAGTATTTATACTAGGCTATGGGGGACAAGACCACGTGCGCCCACGTGGGGGCATGCTGCTGATGTGGTGCGAGGTGACTGGTTTCGTCCTCGAGCTGCCTTGTCGCCTTGTGAGGGGGATCATTCCCTTTGTCGAGTAGTGCCTTGGATGGATTCTTCAGCATCTCCAGTTGTCCTCTACTGACATGGGTAGCTACACGCCAAGCCCTCTTAGATTCTCTTCTGCCGACACTTTCCAACCCTAGAAACTACACCGGGTAATCTCCGTGGGATGAGATCATCCCAGTTAGGGAAAATTGGGGTGACAAGGGAGTTTGACCGGTATACTTTTTTCGTGAAGTATACCGGTCATCTTTTGGCCGATTTGCTGACGATTTAAGTCTTCCTTCCAAAACTTTCGAGATTGACCGGTCAACTAATTGGTCTCCTCATTTGACCGGTCGTGGGTGGAATACACCCATCAGAACGGATAAAGTACTTTATTTTAACTTTAAAAAAGTAGTTTTCAATTGAAATCACAAATCTTTCAAATTTAGATTGGACGATTTGAAACGAATAAGACACCATATACCATGTCAAATTCCTTTAACCTGGGAAAATAGAATTAGACCC